GCCTCGCGCGCTCGACGTGGGGATGTCGGGTCGAGAAGGTCAGAGGAAGGGAGAAGACACGTTTGAGTAAAGACGGGGGTAGCTCGACTTTTCAAGGCATGTACACAGGCACAGCTTGGATGCAAGGCCATCCGACTGCGGGAATGCTCGACTTCCAACATGAGCGCTGCTTTTGCCAACTGCTCTTGAAAGACAATCCAAATTTGGGCATGTCCCTTGCAGATGTCTTCTCCACGCCAGTTGCAAGGGCAACTTGGCTCAGCATTCTCGCAGGGACAGTGTGCCACGACGGCGATTGGCCGCTGGAGCGCTCACTGGAGCTTGCTGTGCGTAAGCAGAGAAACTGCGAGCCTGCGTGCCCCATGATCATGCGAACCGTCCTTCGGTGACATCATAATAGAGCATAGATTCAGCAGTTGGACAGTTGGCAGAGCGTTCCGGTGTTGCCAGCGTTTCTGGACAACCTTGCATGGCCAACATTTGCACAAGTCAATGTTCTGTCGCAATTGTGATTCTGCCAGTCCATAGTTTCCAAAAGGGGGGGGGTCAGGTCAACATGGGATGTTCAAGCATCTAACAGCCATGAAACGAATGAACCATATGGCCATGAATTTCAATAAGGAACCACCTCCAAAGTGGCTGGTGGACATAAATCCCCACCTACATGGTGTCCACCACAGGATCCCTTATTTAAATTCACAGCCATATGAACCAGAGGGGATCTTCAAGGTTTGCCATTCACCTGAGGCCTGGCTTCCAGCCCGGCTTCTTCCCGGGCTACTGCCAAAAGCCTTCGCCTGCCTGGGCACGGGCCCGAGCTTCGGATGGAGGGCTCTCATGGGCATCCACTCGTGTCGTATTGGACAGCTTCCTCTTGGCACAGAAGAGAATCAGTCACTGTCGATGTGTCGGAACCCAGAGTCTGTTTTTGTGGGTAGCTGAAAGTGGCTAAAAGGGAGTTGCTTGCTTGCTTCCTTGCTTGCTTCCTTGCATGTGTGTGCTCGCTTGCTTGTGTGCGCTGCTAGATCAGCAGAGCACGGGTGCTGGGGATGTTGCCGCCCCTCCATTCCTTTGGCCCAGCCCAGCCCTAGCCAAGAAAACGGTTGACAGTGCCGGTTGGCAAGCCCATTCAACACTTTTGAAATCTTGGCACCGTATGTGTCAACAGGACTTCTCAAAATGGTTGGGGTTAAGTTTCATGCTGCTTCAGATCAGGTTTCTGCTGTATGGAGTTTGACATGGCTCACCTGGTTGCCAGGAAGCCACTGCCCGGGAGCTGGAGGAGTTAGCCGGGATCCCGAGTCCCAGTGGGTGTCAGTTGGCAATGGTTTCGTTTTCTCACTTCCTGAGTTTATGAACTTTAAACTTTTTGGGAAGACCATTTTGGTGGTAAATATAAAGTTTGGACTTTTTTTGGGCCATCCACTCAAACAGTGAGTTTTTACTGGACGAAATCCATTTCGCAGTTATGAATCACAACGAATCTCTTTCGGGACGAACCTATCAACGGCTTCGTCCGTCCACAGGGTGGGCGGAGATCTGTGTTTTGCCTCCCACGCAAAGTCAAGAGGCAGAGCGCTGACTGAAGGCTTTGGCTGGCGCACAGCTTTCCCGTTTTTATGGAGAGAAGCTGATGAGTTGATGGGTCGTACTTTTGCCCCCTAACTACTGCCTTCCATAGTGACTTACATATCTTAGATTATGCTTCGACCGAGCATCAATATTGGCTTCAACTGAATGAAGTTGACTTCACTTTGCCAGAGACTCTACTGCATTGCACTCCTCGCTGGGCAATTTGGGCGCCCAGGAGCCAGTTCCTCATGCACTAGGGGTGCTTTCAGTCCATTCTCTTGTCAAGAGCTGGGAAAGGAGCCTCTTTAAGTGAGACTTCCCTTGTCTTGCTGGCCTGCGAGGTTCCTTTCTTATGGAACAATTTGATCACGCTTGAATAGCCATGAAGGATTTGGAGACATTTAAGTCCTAAGCAAAGCCGATGCACGTCTACCTGAATGCCTTGGCGAAGCTTGCAACAGAGAAAACAAGATTCCAAGCAAACACATCGGTGCACTGCAGGTATCGCGGTGAACATGGTCAAGCATGTTCACTCTTGAGCGAGATGCAGTCCGCTGCTTGCAGCGCTAAGCAGGGCGCCATTACTTATTAAACGAAGGGGTCGAAGAAGCATCGGCAGCATTCCAGAGATCCTGTGAAGAGTCAATCGTCCAGTTTTACACCGACCTCAGCAATATGTTTGCCCTCTCATCGTTCCAGCGTGCAATGCCTTTGCGGGCAGAAGCACAGGCATGTTGCAGGGTCTCAGATTTTGCTGACGCTGCCTGCCCTCGACTCGTTCCAGCTTCGCCTTTCATGCGGCTGGCCAAAAGCCATTTGCATATGCGCTGCTTCCGATGATGACGTCCAGCAGGGAGGCGACCGATTCCGACTGATTCAGCAAGAGTTGGATCTCAATTATGGTGCCTGCGAGCACGAATGCTTTTGC